TATCTTGCAATTCAAGAAAATTAGTTAGCATTAAATGGTGTATTGAAAAACAAATTTTCAGAGGATGTTAGTATTTGCAATTTACCTTTTGAAAATAGTTTATTATTTCAGTCGCAATAGCTTCCAATAATGCTTCTGCTGCCTCACCTATGATACTAACATCTAACCTTCCAAATTTGTCTTCCAAATGCAAAAAAGCATTTGCCCTATAGAGGATATATTTTCGTAGATTAGATATTGCACTTTATTTGAATTAAGAGTTGGTTTTAGTAAGTATTTGAAGATCCTTTTCAAGATGTAAGTTACCTTGGCATTGCTGTTACATGTTCATAGTTACAGAAATGACATTTGTGGATTTCTCCCAAGTCTGCATTTGAGACATTTGTGGATTTCTCCCAAGTCTGCATTTGAGTTTTTATTTTTTATTTTTTTGTAGATTTTTTATTTTTTTGCAGGACATATACCAGAATTTTTGCCGTGTTGAAATAACTCTCCAATGAGCTTTCACCCAATAGAACTTTTTTCTATACAAAAATATGTATGTGTAATAAGATTATGGAATCAGTGCTTCAAAGAATTTTGGTTATTTTCATAATATGCATTGTGAAATATATTAACCATGTATTTATTATAGCTCTGTTTAATTTAATTTAGGGATTGAGAAATTACCGCTAGATAGTTTCCTAGTAAGTCACCAATTGGGGTAAATTTGTTTTCAGCTGGAGGTGAAAGCTTTGTTGGACTTACAGCAACAAAGGGTTTATCTTCTGTGAGTTCATCCAGTTTCTTTTTGTTTGTTCACACCTTGTAGGAAAAAAAAGAGAAGTAATTATACAACTTAGTTTTGGAACAATTTCTTTTATGTAGGTGGGAAAAGTAAGCAAGTTTTTTGGCATTGTTTTAGAACCATTCTTTGTAGTTTGTTACTGCTATGATTCCAGCATCAATGAACACATTGCTGTTCGTTTTAGTTGAAAGTGTAATGCCTGCATCAAATATAAATAACAATCAGCCTATATATGTATTTTTATACTGCAATACTATCATAAATGAAATTTTTTCTTCAATTAGAATTTATCATCAAATGAAAAAGCTTTCAAATTTGTAGCACATATTATCTATTGGCAAGATTTTCAAGGATAGTAGTGCGTTCTCTTTCGACAAAGCTATCCTAAAGGGTTAACATTACAGTCTGGAATTATTTATCTATCAATATAATATCTTGGATATAGGCTTATGTTCCAAAATGTGTTTGGATGATCCATTTTTGTCGAAT